GAGGCGTTTGCCGTTTTAGAGCCGGTCCCCTTGAAGAAAACCTCGTGAATTTTGGCTAAAAAAAAATCGCTGCCGGGCTTTGCCGGCCCTGCGCATCCCCGCCGGCTCCTCGCCGTGCCGCGGGAGGCTCCCAGCCTGGAGCCTGGCGAATATTTGGGGCCTAAAAGGAAGAAAGCGGCTTTACGGCTCGGACGCCGCTTGCACAAAACGGCCATTGAATTTTTCCCGGGGAGCCCCTTGTCGTTGATCGGGTTTTTTTCGTGGTTTTGGAGGAGGTGTGAATGGCTGGAGCCCAGCGGTGGGGTATGTGTCTGTATGGCTGCAAGAGGCGGCCCGGTGCTCTGCGGACACGGATGCAGCTGGAAACCCGATATATATATATTGTATATGTTGGTTTATATATATTATATTTATATATATTTATTTAAAGCGGGAGCCAGCGTGCTTTACCCAGTCTGACAGAGTATCTAGGACAAAAGCAGTGTATTAATGACATAGTTTTGGTGGTTTTTTTTAAACGCCAGTATTTCATGTGGGATGGTGAAAGCTTTCATTTCCCAAGCAGTCTTCATCTGCGGAGACGTCGCTTTTTGTCTGTAGAAACGAACGGAATAGGGGGATCCCAATTTCTTGTTTTCCTTTTCGAAGAGGAAAGCCTCAAACTCCGTAGCAAGGGAGCAACATATGTCAGAATATCTGGAAACTAGTATTATTTTCAAGGTGGGCAGAACTATTCGAAATAGTGAAGCAGATAAAAGGCTCTTTATAGCTCTCACGGCACAGGATCAGGCCCTGTAAGGCGTCTATTTGCTTCAACAACGCAATTTCTGCTTAGGCCGAGGCGTGGGAGCCCGCAGAAACTCCTCCAGAAGTCCTTTTCACGCCACCGGCCTTGCTCCCGTGGGTGCCGGCGGGTCGGGCAGGGCGGCCGGGACCGGGGCCCCTCTCGACCCGCATGGCAGGAGCAGAGCACCGGGCGCCCCGAATTTTGCCCGGGTTTGGGGCCAGCGCCGGCTTCGCGGTCCC